CCAATAAAAGACTTTTATGAGAAATCGACAACCAACATTATACTAAAGAGCTAAGTAATTGAAAACTTTTACTGTAAAATCCAGAACAAGATAAGGCTGTCCATTGTCACCACCCCATTTCATATTTAGTTATGGAAACATTAGGAAAAACAATTAGATAGAAGAAAGAAATAAAAGTGACAAATTTAGAAAGGGAAAAAGTAAAATTATCATTATTCACAGATGACATTGTACTGTATAAAGAATACCCTCAAAAACTCCATGAAAAGATTTCTGGATTTAACAAGCAAATTCAATGTCATAGTTGCATACAAAGTCAACACTAAAAAGGCAATAGTATTTCTGTACATGTATCACAAACTCAAAGAGAGACAAACTGAGGAAACAGTGACATCTTAAAAAAATGAAATTCTTAGAAATCAAACCAACAAAGCAGTAAACATTCTATACATTGAAAATTATAATAGTCTATAAAAGTATGTTGAAATGAGATCCAAAAATGAAAAGATATCACTTGCTCATGAATATAAAGAACCAATATTATGAAATGGATATAATCTCAAAACTGTGACATAGATTTAATGAAATCCCTATCAGAGTAGCATTAGAATACCTCTTGTCCTCTGAATAACTACTACAAAGACAACAATATGTAATATATTAATAATTGTAATTGTCCTACTAACCTGTTTTTGAAACTGTTTCATTGTTACTAAAATGGAAAAAAATAAATAAAAAGAACACCTCTCAGATGTGAGAAAATATATGTACAATTCATTTGGAAACAAAAGAGACCTAGCATACCAAAAGCAATCACGGACAAAAAGGCAAGGCAGGAAGCATCACAATCATTGACTTAAAATTATACTATAAAGCTACTGGGCTAAAGTCAGCATGGTATTAGTAAAATAACAGAGCTGAGGATCAACGGAATTGATTACAAGATGAAGACAGAACTACAAGCATACTCACCCATCTTATGTTTGCTAAAAGGTCAAACATGTTCACTGAAAGAAAGCCTGTTTAATAAATGTCACTGGGAAAAAAATACTAGTTTTCCAAGTGGTAATGAGCAAAAAGTAGACACATGTCAATCATCATCCTTTATTTTTTCTTTTAAATTTTTTTTATTTTAATGAAAAAAAATAGCATTGAAACAGTTTCAAAACAGGTTAGTAGGGCAGTTACAGTAATTAATACATTGTATACTGTTGTCTTCATAGTAGTTATTCACAGTACAAGATGCAGACATAATCTCTTGTTTAAACAATATTAGTACAAATCTTTCTTCTCATTGAATTAAGAGAAAATAGCTGGACATCTATCCTATTTTGTATATACATATATTTTTTTCACTACAAAATGGTCTTTCATTTATATCCCCCTTTTTATTTTGTTTTGTCAGAGATGGGTGTTCCATTGCTGTTAGAGAAACTAAAGTAAAAATTGATCAAAGCACTCAATATTAAAAAAGGAGAATTAAATCTACTGCAAAAGATATTAGGTAGAAATCTTGAACATATAGGGGTAGGCAGAGAGTTCATGAACAAAATCCAAATTACATGGGAAGTACTCCAAAGAATAAACAACTACCACCACAAACTATTAAGAATATCTTCAAATCAAGAGAAATCATCACCAGGGTGAAAAGACAACTGACTGAGTGAGAAAAAATTTTAGCCAAATGTCTCTTTGAGAATAGATTTCTATGAATAACATATTGAAGATTCAAAAAAACAATACCTCCAAAATATAAAGACCAATCAAAATTGGACATCTGAGATGAATATACACTTCTCAGATGAAGAAATACAAACAGAAAATAAACATAAGAAAAATGTTCAACATTGCTGGTAATTCAAGAGATGCAAATTAAAGCAACACTGAGATTCCATCTCATCCCTAAAAGAATGGCTACCATCAAGAAATCAACCGATAACAAATATTGGCAGGCATCTGAAGGGAAAAAGAAAGCCTTCTCCACTGTTTTTTGGAGTGTAGACTGGTACAACATCTGTGGAAATCAATGTGGAGATTCCTAAAAAAAATGCCTAGAGACCCACTGCACTTTTTTCCAGAAGAAATAAAAAACATTATACCAGAATAATAGATATGCATCCATGTTTATAGCAGTACAATTTCTCACAGCTAAATGTTGGAAACATGCTGAATGCCCATCAAGGGATGAAAGGCTAAAAAAGATGTGGTAGTTTTATACAGTGAATTAATTCTTCTCTATAAAGAATGATAATCATTCCAATAAACTGCTAGTTTCAAAAATCTTCTGAAGATTCTCAGGATCATTTCCTTACTCATCTTCTACATGTAACTGTATGGCTTGCCCCTGTCATGTTTCCTAGCTCTTCTCCTTGCTCTCTTTTCATTGTCTAGTCCTCAGGTTCTTGCTTTACTTTTAATTGTATTATACCTTTCTATTTGTATTTCTTCTTTTGAGTTCTTATACTAGGGAAGCTATACAACATTTACACATGTGTGTCTGGTGTATTTCACTTATGAGTATATCTTCAAGGCGCATCCACTTAAATGTAAAGGCTTCGAGTTTATCATTCTTTATAGCTGAGTAATACTCCATTGTATAAAAATACCACATCTTTTTCTTCCATTCCTCAGGTGATGCACATCTTGGTTGTTTCCAAGATTTGGCTATCACAAATTGTGCTGCTATAAACATAGGCACACATATATCACTATGATATGTTTTCAGATCCTCTGGGAAAATTCCCAGTAGAGGAATAGCTGGTTTAAATGGGATTTCCAGTCCAACTTTTCTAAGGAGTCTCCACACTGATTTCCATAATGGGTACATCAGTCTACGTTCCCACCAGCAGTGAAGAAGGGTTCCTTTTCCCCCACAGCCTCTTCAACATTTGTTGTTGGTTGATTTCTTTATGATAGCCATTCTGTCTCAGTTGAGATGATATCTTAATGTTGTTTTAATTTGCATTTCACAAATGGCTAGTGAGGTGGTTTTTTCATATATTTATTTGCTTCTTTAATTTCATCCTCTGAGAAGTGTGTGTTCATCTTGGATGCCCATTTATCAGATGCAAAAGCTACAACTCTTGTTGCATAGGTCTTGCTTTACTTTGGTCTTAACCATCCAGCAGAAAAGTATAAAAAGGAAATATGAGAAATAAAGCCATGGTATTATGTTGAGCTGTAGGGGCTCAGGTCAACAATTTCTGACACTGCCAGTCAAGCGGAAGACCCAATACTATTATGGACTACTGGACTCTTTTAGAATATTTTGCTGAGTTTACACACCTAAAATATTCAAATGATAGAACTAATAAAAAGGATATATAGATGAATGTCCATTTTATATCTCTGTATTCAATATGGTTAGGATAGATATATAGTTACATTCTCTTAATGAATAGAGGGATTTGTTGTAATAGTGTTCGTAAATAGGATATCATGTTTGCATCTTGTACAGCAAATAACCTTTAGGAAGAGAGTATGCAATGTGTTAATTATTGAAGCTGTCCTACCAATTTGGTTTCAAACTATCTCATTGCTACTTGTCTCTCAATAAAATTATGGGAAAAAACAATTATAAACCCAGGATTTAAAAAAGAACTTTTTAAAAAAATTTAGGGAAAAATGTATAACAAAAATTTACAAAGAAATCATAGGAGAATAACAAAATTTAATACTACAAATATTTTTATCTTTAAAATAGTTGCTGAGGGTACAAAATATGGGTATAAAAATTTCTCTAGGTGGGGAGATAGCTCAGGAGAATAAGCACTTCCCTGGCAAGCACAGAGTCCTCAGCTCAATCCCTGGTACAAAAAAAAAATTTCCAATTTTTATTAGTACTGATCTTCCTTTGCAATGAACTAAGAGACACTTGCATTGCTTTCCTTTTCCCTGCTGTTCTTTCCCCTTTCATCCCACCTCATTAATTTTCCTGTTTGATCAATGTCTTATTTCATAGTATCTTTTGGCACATTAGGACTTATTTTTTAACTTTTTTATATATTATTTATTCATTCATTCATTCATTCATTCATTCATTCATTCATTCATTTATGTATTTGTTACAGAGTCTCACTACACAGCTCGGACTTGTAGTGATCCTCCTATTTTCAGCCTCCCCAGTGCTAGTCTTACAGGCATGCGCCACCATGCCCAGACTCAGTTCCTGGCTCAGGGGTGGGGCTGGTGTCTCGTATGGGGTTGGGAATCAAACCCTGGTCCCTGTGCTTGCCAAAGCAGGCACTTAGTCACTGAGCTATCTCATTGGTTCATATCTTTAACTTTTTTACACCAAAGAAACTATTCAATGTTTATAAGTGTCTTGTTTGTTTCACTTATGAATCTCATTGTTTTTATAGGTAAATGAATCAACTTAAGACCACGCTCATCAGTGACGCAAATCAGACTCACGGGTGCAAGCACTGTATTGTCTCCATAGTGTAAGAAACTGTAAGAATAAATAACATCCAAAATGTACAATAGATATTGTGAAAGGAGATTAAACTGCTTAAAGGAACAAAAACTGGAATAACATAAATGAAAAATGAAGGAAGAGAAAAACATATAAAGATACAAGTATACAGATATAGATAGATATAAAGATATATCTACATATTCATATATGTAGATATATGACTGTATATATATGCACACACAAGGTAATTATGATAATTGTACTGCTGATTTCTATCTTCTTCAAAAAGAACAGTTTATACTTCTGTTGTTCGATCAAATTTTGATATCTATATCAAGTAATTGAGCAACTACTTTGAACATAACAATATGAATTATATTAACTGTTGTTAATCTCCCATCTCTTTTGTAATTTTGTAATATTGTATTTATTCTTTCTCTCTTTAAAATAAAAAAATGAAAATTTAATTTTACTTATTCAATTTCCACATAGAACTATTGCATGAGCAAATTGTGGGGAAGAAAACACATGATGCTATTTATCTTACTTGTGGTTAAGTATGGCATCGCTATATACAACATACCTCTGTAACTCCTGAGGCCCATTCTATGATATCTTCAGATAAAGTCATTTTTTGGCCATGTGGGGCATATGAAGAAAATGTGCCTAGTTTAGCCATAAATCTAAGGCCTTCTGGAAAATTCCAAAAATTAAGAATATGATGCTCTGAATCCAGTTTCTTTTTGTCATCTAAGTTCACCTTGTCCCCAGCAGGATTGTTAAATTGGACGTTCTTCAGAAAGGGATGCAGCTAAAAGAGATACATTATCCTATGTGAACAGGGATCCAGGAGAAAGACAGAAAATGTGGGTGCAGGAAATTTCCTAAGTGTCTTTAATCCCATTAACCTGAAGCAACTTTAAAACTGGTATTTATTAAATTGGAAAATGTGAATGTCTCAAGACTAAAATGTCACCATGTTCCAGAAATGTCAGTTTCAGGAAAAACGTATTCTATACATTCCTATTTAAATAAGATATACAGTTGGGTTAATGAATAACCTCAAATGTAGAATCAAAGCTTCTAAAACCCACAACTTCCTTTTCTTATCTGATTAGTCGGATATTATCTACCACAAAGTGAGTTCATTATTATCATAAGAGTTTGCAGAATTAAATGAAATTTAATTATGTGCAATGTCTGGTTCAATGCTTTTTTATGGGGGTAGGGGAGGAACCGGAGATTGAACTCAGACCCTTGTGCTTGCAACTGCTATTTACTTTTATAAGTCATTACAGGTTTTCTGGTAGTCTTTTAAGAAAATCATGAGCAGGTCTACATGGGTAAGGAATTGACATCCCGTCGGTGGAAAGAGTGAGCTGGTCAGGTGTTTCCTCCTCCTTGCCAGTGGCACTTGCATTGGGGATTGTTTCAACACAACTCAAGAATTTCCTCCTTACAGAACGGATGATACATGATGAGTTGGATTTTGTAGAAATTATTCTAATATTCTCTTGGGAAACACATGGAATAGTGTAAGATTGGCACCTGGAAGACATTGCCTGCCATGCAAGGGAAGACACATTACCTGCCAGGGGGAAAACATCATCCATTCTGTACTTCTTATTAGAAGCCTTTGCACTTCTTTAAAAAGCATCTCATGAGGGCCTGGGCCACTGCATGCACAGCGTTGTATACATTGTAGCTCTGATCACTCATAGCTGTGTCAAAATGATTTGGAGGCAACCAAGCCACAGAGGCATTAGTTGTACAGTTCTTCAAAGCACAGTCAGACTCAGAGAATGAGCAATCAAAATTCTTGGACCAGTACATAATGAGGTAAGTGTCCTCCAGGTACTTGAAAGGGGTAGCTTCCTGGACAAAAGTTTTGAAACCTGAAATCTCTTTATGGTGGTGTGAAAAAATAAGAATCCCATGGAATGGATCTAGTATGAAATTTCTCCCAGTTAGGTCAGCATGCCATTGTGAGTTTGTCACCCAGACTTTCCATGTCACTAAGTTTTGTGCCTTATTGTAGTTTACATCATTTGGACTACCAGCATCATAGTAAATGACCACCACATTGGCAGACATTGTATCTCCAGTCAGGATATCGTGTTTCTTAATGGCTGACATATATGACACAGTTGCAGTTGACAACATTTTCACAAAAGCTATACATACTCTGTTTCTGTCCATCTCAGCTTTTATATCTGAGAGAAACTGAAGACCTTTAAGGCCTTCTGTGATGAGCAGTCCCACCCACGTCCAGTGGAAATGAATCATCAGACACCATGGCGAGGGCCAGATGAGTGTCCTTTGGGGCCACCTGATGGATAGAAGGGTGCTGGCCCCTCTCAGTCAGTGCAGGATCAAATGAGCCAAAGGTAACCTTAAAGGAAAAGAAAACTGGATAAAACATTGTAATTCTGTTGGTAATACTGTAATCCTGAACTTTACTGAGTAAATTCTACAAGTTGTAGAAGGAGACACATGTTCTTCCCTTTTCGAATTATTTCCTCAAGGGATTTTTAAAAAATGTATGAAAGTACTCATTTGTCCCAGAAACATACTTTTTCCTTTCACTTTAATCCAAAAAGAGAGAAAGAGAGAGAGGAAGAGAGAAAGGAAGGAAGGAAGGAAGGAAGGAAGGAAGGAAGAAAGAAAGAAAGAAAGAAAGAAAGAAAGAAAGAAAGAAAGAAAGAAAGAAAGAAATTGTGTGTAACACACTAAGTCTCTTCTGCACACTTTGGTGCACTGCAGACTTTAAAAGATGTTGGGTAGGCCAAATAGCTCATCAGAGTCACATACCTGCAAGCAGGCACAGGGGTAGGAGGTTCTATCCCCAGATTTGCTGTACTGCCGCCCCCCACCCATCCAGAGCACACTGAGACTGCGATTGAGTGTGGGTGGCATGCATCTGTAATCCCAGCACTTGAGAGGCTGTAAACAGAAGAATCACTCTGAGTCTGATCTAGTAGTGAGACCCTGAACACCCTGTAGATCCTTCCCTAAAATACAGAAAATTAAAAAAAAAAGATGTTAATCCCAGCTTCATTTTTAATCATTTTTGTTCCTGGTAGTTGAAGCACCATGGATGTGCTTCCCTCACTTCCTACCACACCAACCCTCACCTGTGGAAATCTGTAGAGCTCCAGCAGTGGTCCAATCTGAGCTGAGGTTCCCCATGACATTTCTGTCAGGACTGCTGCACACTTGCTCTCTGTCCCACACATGTAATTAGAGATCTTGTGTTGTCCTGTGAGCAAAATGAAGGAATTTTCTAGTATCCTCCAATGACTGTAAATGAAATTATGGAACTCATAGCCCAGAGAAATGTTGGGTAAAAGATGAGGATTCCTGTTAATCTCTTCTATGGCAAAAACAAAGGCCAGGTAGTTCTGGTAGTTGTTGGGTGAGAGCCTGCAGAGAGAGCACAGAAGTCCTTAGGGGAAAGATTCAATCAGTGATCAACTTCTAATCTACCCCAGAACCAATTATAGGCTGTATGCTTTTGTTCTTTCCACACACTCATATAAGTCGAACACAAGTATGAATATGATGATGTTGGAAGACTTTAGAAGGTAACAGGATTTAGTTGCATTATGGGGGTGAATTTCTCATGGAGGAGATTAGTGGCCTTGCAAGATTCTCAGAATGGTTGCTTCATCTTTCAGTTACATTTGTTTTACAGCTAACATGACATTGATATGTATATTCAAAATAAAATTTATGCATAGAATTATATTACATACATACTTAGAAAATGTGATATTTTAAAATATCCTCAGTTTGAAAGAAGAAAACAATGTATTTATCAAAGTACTTATAGCATTCAATATTAACAAGCATCCCTTTCTGTTCAAATGGTTTGTTTTAGTTTATTTATTTATTTATTTATTTATTTATTTATTTATTGGTGGAACTAAGGAATGAACTCAGGCCCTTGCACTTGTCAGGCAAGCACTTATTCTACTTAGCCATCTCCCTGGCCCTAAATGATTTGTTTTAGGAAAAAGATATTTCCTTAATGTTATTAAGTGTGTAGCTAGCAAATTTGCTATTCATATCCATGCTTGCGAAGAAATACTGGGTTGTTTGTACATTAATCCACTTAATTTAGTTTATTTTAAGTATTAGATGATATAAATATATAGCGGCACATTACTTTGTATCTAAGCAAAGATACAATTGCTGACAAAACTGAGATTCATTCAGGTCAACACTTAGATCTTAGATTTTGGTTAAAGGATAAAATAGTGAGTCACGGTGCAGATGGATGATGGTCATGAATAAAAGTTCACCCTCCTTCCCAGGATTTTTGGCACAGCCAAGTGCTCTTCCCTTATCTTCTTGAAAGATTTCTGTAAAGAAAATTGAATATTCTATTGACAGCGTGCAATCTCCTTTGAATGTTGTGGAATGAAGCTTCTCAAAGAAGGTGTATGTAAAGAGGATTTTCATAAAAAATTTTTTGTCAAAACAAGATGTCTTTGTTAGCATCACAATGACTCAGTTGCTCTGAAGTTTCTAAGCTACAGAATAAATATTCAGCAAGACAGGAGAGAATAAAAGAATTTGACAGACAAGCAGACATGAGTATCCCATTAGGAATAAGATTATTCACTTATAAAATAAAAGAAACTTGTGGTATAGTGCCAAAGAAAGCCTAATTAAAAAAATTTAATATAAAATTGGTAAGTGAAAGTCTTTTGAAACACATATGTTATAACCACAACCTTAACAAAATGAACAGAATATTCTATAGCCCTGAAATTTTAGTAAAAACAGTAAAGCACTACAAAGAATATTTTATAAATGTTAATATTAAAATAATTTCATCAACTTTTGCACTACTAAGGAAGAGATTTTTATATCAATAACACATATTACACAAGTGCTCTGAAATTTCAAAATTTTGAAAATGAGAACATAAAATGAGTATGCAATTTACAGAAAATGCATTAATAGATGCATCAAAGGGACAGGTTATAAAAAGTAACCACTGTGTCTATATCTATCTGTTTCTATACATCTATTTCTATCTCTATCTCTTAGATTATCATCTATACTTTTTATCACATTTTAAGTATTAAATTATACTATAGTATTAAATATTATACTATAGTATTAAATATTATACTATAGTATGTTATATTAAATTATGTTATACATAGTGAAAACTATTTAGAAAACTAAAGTTAAGTGAATACACACATTTATCTGAAAAAAATTTCAGATACTACATGCTTTTTTAGAAACTATAAGTAATAAAGAACACGAAAGGATAGGTTGGCCACTTGTTTGCATATCTTAACAAAATTTATTCATGTTTTCCTTCCCGTTCTAGCAGGAAGCTAAATTCTCTTATAAGTCCTTAAATGCTTCTTCCTGGTGGATGCTTTGGCCTGGCTATAAAATCTCAGAATTGCAAGTGTGGTCTTTTCAGGCACAAACAGAGATGATAGTGCCTGGGTCTAGAGCAGGGCCACCTGCAAAAGCAGCCTGATCCTCTGAGCATATGTGGAGTCAGCAAAGGAAAATAGAATAGTGGGTAGCTCATCCTCTTCTTCTAGGAATAGAAACAGATCCTCATCTCTGAACTAGTCCTGAAATCTGATTGTGCTTGGTACCTGGTCAGTTTCTCACTCCCTACTATACTCAGATGCTGTCTGGTCACACTGGGCTGCCTTTAGTTTCAATCACTTTGAAGCATGGTGTAGCCAGACTCCCTCATTATCACTTTCTATGCTTCTGGTTATCTCTGAATGCACTCTTGCCCATCTACCATTCAGAATTCAACTCCCCAAACAAACCACATTTCAGTGCATTCTATGCTGAGGAATATATCACAATCAAATAAAATCTTTCTTAAAAGATTCAATATGTAACGTGAGTAATTAATCCTTTCACAGAGTTTAAGGGATTTTGAGCAGGGTTCTGTTCATCACTCCAAAATTGTTCTGATCTGTCAGCAAAAAGATATACTCAATAGGCATTATGAGAATCAAACTTTATATATGAAACTCATCTTAAAAAACACACTTTATAAAAGGATGAAAGAAAAACACACATTCAGGGTGTGACTAATTGCTGTAATGCTAGCTGCTCAATAAACCGATGCAGAAGAAATTCAGGAGCCCAGGAGTTTGCTGCTATCATATCCAGCACAGTAATTCCTGCCTCAAAAACTATGTAAACATAAACAAAGTGTCTAGAAATCAAAATAAAATCAAACACCTGTGTATTATAATGAGTATGACATAGGTACAGACCCCATCTGCAGAAGGAAAATGGATTCCTTGCTCTGATGTCGCTGCTCCTGAACAGGGTGTAGCCTTAAGGAGAACACAGTAGGAGCTGGTTCATGGAGAAAAATGGATTAGTAAACAATGAAAGCTTCTAACACTAAGGTAGAAACAATAAAACAAAGTTTCAAAAACTGTTAGTACATAACACATTCACGATTGTATGGAAGAAATAAAGAAAAAAACAGAAAAAGCTACATCAACACGTCTGAAAAGCTTCCACTCCTGTCATTCCAATTCTGGTACTGAGTAATCCCTTCATGTGGTTTTCAGATTTCTGATTAGGTAGGGCCTGGGCAGAGTGTCCTTTCTATGGATGGGATCCCAAAGTTCTCTCGCCAGTGAGAGTCCTTAAATACCAGTTGACACAAAATGGGCTGTATCCCAACCTTGTGCATGACAAGATGTAGGGAGTCTGAAACCCCCAAGAACTGGCCGGCTGCTGAGGGAACAAACATCTGCATCTTCTAGACATGTAAGAAAAAAAAAAAACTACTTGGTAGCTGGACAGGCTAACAATCACTTTATGCTCATATAAGTATGTCCGCCAAAGAACCTAATATGTAATCTTTAGAACAAGCCTGTGGCACTGTTTTGATCAAGGAATATATTTCTGTTATTTAAATTTAACTATTCTTGAGACCCAGTCCTAGCCCAGGTCCGGTGAGTGTGTGGAGAGATTCCTGCTACCCTGCGCCGGCGGGACCAGTCCCAGCCCAGGCGCAGCATGGGCCGGACCCTCTCCCAGCCCCTCGGGCCGCCCCCCACCACTCTGCAGT